TGGGGCCTATGGGTGTACATCTGCACCTCTGCCCTGGCCCGGGACCGACGGCATTTGCCCAACCCCGACACTCAAGCCTTGACGGAAATTCTGAAGGCGACTTGCCAAGAGCCCTACGCCCGTTTAGGTTTGGGGTTTTGGGCTTAGGGCTTATGTAGGGTTTAGGGTTTGGGGTTTAGGGTTTTTGTTTAGGGTTTTAGGGTTTTAGGGTTTTAGGGTTTTAGGGTTTTAGGGTTTTAGGGTTTTAGGGTTTAGGTGTGGGGTTTAGGGCCGATTAGGGTCTGACCTTGAACCTCAAAATCCGGAGCTTGAGCCGTATGGATTTTTGTATCGAATGCTAAGTCCCTCAACCCGAACCTCGAACGCTTACCTTGTAATAATAACCGCCACAAGAATCCTTGTGGTACCCCTTCTTGTAGCCCTTATGACGTTGCCTTTATAGAGTAAATGCAACCGTACTGAATTCCTCAAACCTCCAAAAGCCCCTGAAACCCCTAAACCCTAAAACCCTACGCCCTGAAACCTTAAGTCTTTTACACTGTTATGCCTTCAAGCCCTTGAAGTGATGCTCTTCAGCGCAACTTTAAGAATCGGATCTCAATATTTTTATCGTCACCGCATACCTATGGGCTCCATTGAAGTTCCTTTTTGTGGCTTATATTTAGGACTTAGGATCCTATCAGGTAACCCCGAAAAGGAACTACTATGGAGCCTATGATTATGGGTAGACCAACCTCAGACAAACACCCGTGTATAGGAGTTCTCTTACAGTAACGGCCCTACTATTGTGGTGAGCCGTACAGTAGCCCTGACTGGAAGCTCGTTCATTGAACCCTAAACCCTAAACCCTAAACCCTAAACCCTAAACCCTAATTGTGAAACGCGAAGGGCAGTTGCCACGATTTCTGGCCCGCCGACGATCAGTACTCGGTCAGCCAGGTCACTTCTCTCTTTGGGGAGTTGTCGGGGCCATTTCTAGGGGTTTAGGGTTTAGGGTTTAGGGTTTAGGGAGTGAATTTTCAGTGAGTGTTTCGAGTGTACTTAGGGTTTCAGGCTTGCAAGTATTCATACATTCTCCCAATTTCTACCCTACATTGCTACCCCAGTACCTAATTAGTAGGTCCGGTTTAGAGTTCAGCGTTGTAGGCTCCGGTGATTCGGTTGATTTCAGTTTATTGTTTTTTGGAGGAGCTGTGAGCCCTTTGTAAAATTACGTAGGGTTAAGGGTTTAGGGGAGTCTATATGATTGCGCAGTGATGATTGTCTTTCATGATGTCGGATGTTCTTGATGAGAATCCGGTGGTCAGTTAGGGCTCTCTGGGTTAAACCCTAACCCTAAACCCTACCTAAACCTCTAAACCCTAAACCCTAAACCCTAAACCCTAAACAAAAAACCCAAACGTGTAGGCATTCCTTGTTTTATTCAGGAGTTTCGGGTTTTGCGCTGCTGGAGTTTTGCGGTTCTTCGTCGGGGGCGGAGTTTTGTTTCCTAAACCTTAAACCCGACATTACGGTTTAGGGTTTAGGGCCCTACATGCCCTGAACCATTTAGAGTTTAGGGGCTTGGGAATAGGGCTGCGGACCATTGCGAAGAGCCAAAAGCCTGAGGGCTCCTCTGCTAGAGTAGAATGTACGGGGTTTAGGGTTTAGAGTTTAGGGTTTAGGGTCTAGGGTTTAAGGTTTAGGTGCCAAACTTATGATGATGAAGTCTGCTATATTATTTGCCAGGTCGTTGTTGTTGAGAACTTGGGATGGAGCCTCAAGGGGCTTAGGGTCTAGCGACTTTCTCGTTTGGAGTCTTGATTCTTCAGTGGTGCTTCCGCTTCTGGGCAGAGATGCACGGTAGAGGGTACATGCCATCAATTTGATCGTGTAGGTTTCAGTTCAGGAAGTGCTGGGTTCAGTTGCAGTTTACCTTAAACCCCAATCCCTGCACCCTAAACCCGTGGGTTTAGGTCAGACGGCGGAGCCTAGGCATTGAAATCAGCAAGCCTGAATAATCCTGAACCTCTGGCCCCAAACGCACGACCACGTGTCCCAAAAGCCAAACCCTGCACCCTGAATCTTCGGGATAAGAACTATCGCTTGAACGCTCGCCCTTGAACCTTGCTCAGTCAAGAATATGCAGTCACCAAGCCTGAAGCCTGTGAAGAAAGTGATAATGATCTTTGTGTGGCCTCAAGTCCACGTTTGGTTCTCCGAACGAGCTGCGGAAGGGCACCAATTCTATTTACGCTGAGCACCTGCCAGATGTGCCCATTCACCTGCGGAATGTGCGCCTACCCATCTCCGACTCCATTTCCGGCAACTTAGCTTGAGGATTTTCTGCCTGGGAGGTGTAAGAGTTTTCTATACTTCGCAGTTGACCCCTAAACCCTGAGCTCTGAACCTTAAACCCTAAATGGAAACCCCATGAGGTGAGAAGATTCGGAAGCGATTCACCAGGTGTTCCTTGATGGGACCGTAGAGAAACGCCTGTATGGTCGGAAGGGTCAGAGCTTTTGAATACTGAGCCCGAAATCCTAAGGGCCCAACTACCCCTTGGTTTGGGTTTAGGGTTTTGGGTTAAGTCCGATCCAAACTGTAAGCTATCATTCAGCTCGGATATGAATAGGGTAAGGGGGTCGCTTCGCAAACTTTTCAAAGTCGCCTAGCAAAGTTTTTCGGGGTCGCTTGGCCAGTTCCAGTCTGCACCGTTTTGGCACCCCAAGAGAGCGGGGCCCATAGAGCCCGTGGAGCCATATATACATATGTATATATAAATATATGTGTATTTACGCATGTATGCATGTATGTATGTATGTATGTATGTATGCATGCATGCACGTATATGTGCATTGACCCGGATCTCTGTGTTAATTTGTGTTTGTTTGTTAGAGTTATATATATATATGTGTGTGTTTATATATATACTTATTTATTTATCTATTTGCAGGTATAGCAATATACACACGTGCGTGATATCTATGTGTATGCATATACAACTATGCATACACATATACCTATATCTATACATGTACAAATACGTGTACATGTACATGTACATATGTACGTACATATACATATACATATACATATACATATACATATACATATACATATACATATACATATACATATATATATATATATATGTATATATATATATATATATTAGCTGTCCGGGCACACGGCACCCTTCCCCTAGACCCTCAACCCTAAGCCCTAAACCGATCAGTCGTGAGACTGCCAAGCCGAAATCCCAGAAAAGAAAGATTGACGAACTCCTATGTTTTAGGGTTTGGGGTTTAGGGGTTTAGGGTTTAGGGCTTCCCCTACTAGGATTTGTTTTTTCGGTGCGTTGCCTGGCTGAGAATCTCTGAAAATTCTGGGAGATTTGCGCCCAGGATACCACAGAGCCACCCACGGATGCACCCACGAGCTCCGAGACCACCACCACCGTGACGAGCAGCACGAGCTTTGGGGAGCCTTCCGAGACGACGCCTCTGCCGGATGGGCGGATGCGGATCCAGGCCCCGGGGTTTATCAGAGGCTTTGGGCCCTAGCCTTAAACCCATTAACTCTGGGGTTTGGGGTTTAGGGGTTAGAATGCAGAGTTTAGTGTTTAAGGTTTGGGGTTTGTTTTGTCCTCCTTGGAGAGCTCCTTTCAGGTGCTTTTATCAAAGTTTTCTTGAGGGTTCCAGACACATTAACTATAAGGATTTGGTCTAGGTGCCTTACCAAGCATCACTGTCGTTGGTTGGGATGTGTTGAATTCGGGTTTGCCGTTGAGCTACGTTGAGCTTCGTCTATGGGACTTAAAGCCTTACCGCAGTCCCCCCCCAAAGCTACCATTGTAGGGCTCCCTAAACCCTAAACCCTCACTATCATGAGTTCCTTATATCTACCTATAGTCTCCATTGTAGTTCCTTCTTTTGGCTTAATCAATTATATATTAAGAACTTTATAAGGTATCCCCCAAAAGGAACTACAATGGAGACTATAGGTAGGTCCTTAAAATGGGTTTAGGTTTTTGTGGGTTGGTGTGCGGCCTATGGCCTTCGGGTTTGGGAAGTCAGGTGCTCACCTAAGAGTCCATGTGCGGTGCTTCTTTGGGGTCCCTACTAAAACCTTAAAGCCCGAAGCTCTAAACCCTAAAACCCTAAAAACCCCAAACCTTAAAGTCCTAAACTCTAAAGCTCAAGCTGAAAACGCCTTAGTGTAGGAACCTGAGTGGGAAAGCCGCTGGTTCTCATCAAGCCTCGGGAGTGCGGGTCTCATCATTTCGGGGAGTTTTAAACCAAGATTACCTATAGTCTGCATTGTAGTTCCCTGTTTTGATTTAACCAGCTATGTATGTAGGATCCTATAAGGTAACCCCCCAAAGAAGAGCAGCAATGGAGACTACAGGTACTGATCAGACTACCCCCCCTGAAACCGTAAGCCCTAAACCCTAAACCCTAAACCTTAAATCTTAACCCCCGAAGGCCGAAGCCAAAACCCTAAAGCTTAAACCCTGAACCTTGGATGCCAAATTTTAAAGGCTGAAGTCAAGAGCATAAAGCCAAACTCCCAACTCAAAAGAAGCTTAAAAGCCTTCAAGTCTGACGTGAAAAGCCAACAGCCCAAAGCCCAAGCCGTAAAGCCGAGATACTTTCTCAACCGAATCATCAGCCAAGCGGAAGCGATGCACCCGGAACCGTTCGCCCGAACCCCTTAATTAGGGCTTTGGGTTTAAGGGTTGAGGGCTGCATCCTGTAGTCTTATGGCTATGCGTGCAGTGCCGCACATCTAGGCCTGCAATTTGGGGGTTTGGCTCTGGGTATTGAGTCTCTAAGAGGTTCAGGTGTGTTCAGTGTGTTTCGGGATTCAGAGTCTTGAGTACAGGTTTGGACCCGTACTGTTGATGGACAAAATCCT